CCCCCCCCCCCCCCCCCCAAATCCATGATGTATTAACCTCTATCAAATATGACCACGTCTTCTCAGTCAACCCTATTAGTCGCAGTGGAGGCCTCGCCCTCTTCTGGTGCCAACCCACCTCTGTACATATCCAAAGCTCTTCCTCCTACACATTGATGCACATGTCTCATTACAACCTTTTGGCACCTGGCGCATCACTGGCTTCTACGATCGCCCAGAACGACATCTCCACCCTGATATTATTGAAGGAAGACTCGGGGGTCGACGATCCCATTGTATGTCAGGGATTGGGGGACCTTGGAATTTCTAAGAAGTTCTACTACCATCACCCACTCAGTAAAAGGGGTGATGGTGAGGTCATCGTCCTCAGCAGGTCTAGTAATCCGGTTAGTGAGATTTCGAACAACATCCCTTAATCTTTCCACCTCGGCATCACGAATCCAACGACGTGTTTGACCACCAGAAACGGCGGTGGCTACTACAAGGGCTCCCTGAGTTTCTAATTCACTCTCGGGCGGTCCTATTTCACCAATCAGGTCCCGTGCCGATCTCCATCCCATTCGAGAGAAGACCGAGGTCCTTGACTGCGACACTTGAGTCCACTCGGCCTCCTCATCGAGGTCCGACATACGCCATATGGGGGACTGGGCATGCTTCTGATGTTTCCTTCGGTCGTATATCTGCCCTATAGAGGTAAGCTCGACTTGGCTGGCTTGCGGTACACGGCTCTCCCGAAGGGCCCGCGGTTTTATGACTTGAGCTACCACGCATAACACCTCCGGTGTTGCAAGGACGTCCTGCATGATTAGACCTCAGAGTAACGAGACATCTTGAACTTGGTTGGGCATTCTTCTATATAGTGTTCGCGCCATCCAAATGAGGGTTGACCTGTGGTGGTCGAGTCCCACCTTTTTTAGGACAAAGAATGTCGCAAATCGGACGCAGTGGTCGTCGACACACTATCCGATGAAGGGGAGTCGCTGGAGCTCATACTGCTGGGGGAGCTGAATGTTCCCGAAAACGCAATTTATGGGAAGAGAATTTTTACTATGTCCCACAAATGGCGCCAATGTTGCTGTTAATATCTTGGAAAGGCCCAAAAACCCAACACTAACTTTTGGGTGTGGCATAGATACCTTGGAGTATGCAGATAACCTGAGTTAATATTAAAAGTACGGAATCCTCTTTGTTATTAAGAATGAGAGGGTGTGGCCCGATTGATTTGACCCGAGTACAATAAGAGTGAGCTTAATTTAATATCGTTGCTTTTCCTCTCTCTCTAGAATGCGATCCCTTTCTTTGTTCCCTCCATTCTCTATTTATAGAGAGGAGGTTTTGCATGGAATTGACAAGAAATCATGAGTAGTTCTATAGAAGGTAGCAATGTAGCATGCTTGTCAGTGGTGAGAATGCGTGTCAGACGTCCCCTCTATATTTAATGTGTTGTATGGAAGTCATGATGGGTAATTAAGGCTAAAGTGATTAGTCTAACTCATGATGATTCTTTCTTGGTACCCTGTCTGGACCCAGGACGGTTCTTATCGTGTCCAGGTCTCTCCCAACTAACGGTTATAGCCCGAGCACGACTGTTGGTCGGCACATGTGCCGATCGGTAGGTGCCCATCATCAGGATGTGGACTTTTTGGGCTGGCCCATGCCTATTTGGCCTTTATCCCAATAACAGGACATCACAATAGTAGGCATGCATCATATTAAAAACGAAAAAAGTGTTATGCATTATAAAAGTACAATACTAATAATGAAACACATAGGGAAAGTAAATGCTCAACACGTAATGAAACATCACAATAGTAGGCATGCATAAAATGTTTAATCATTTAGCCAATGCTCAACAAAGATTAACACCTTTTTGAGGTCCTCCTGAAGGATTCCTTACGGCGGCTCTCCTTAGTGTCTTCCAAGCATTTGATACATGCGGTGAGCTGTTGAATGCTTTCATGGATCTTTTGAACACTACATTTTTTGTTGTATTTAAAGTTGATAGGTCATCACTACAAATCAAAACCTTTAAACCATATCGATTAATAACTCGAGAGGCAGTAACATATAGTTGACCATTTTCTCGTGCGTTGTTTGACTAAATAAGTCTTTCCCGTGCGTTGTTTGACTAAATAAGAAAGAATACCTTTCGGTAGAGTAAATAAGTCTCCAATGGTGGTTGAGGTTTTGATTTCGGTACCAACTCTTGGAGGAGAAAGTGAGGATGGTAGGTGTGGAGGAGTAAATAAAAGTTAATGGATTCTACATTAGTTCTTAAAGAACATATATTCAATTTATGAACGGATGGTAATAAATGCAAGTGGAGTGTCTCTCTTCCCCAATAGTCTCGAGTTTGCAAATGGGATTTCAATAAATGCTCTAATTCAATGCAATATGATTTAAATGCAAATATATTGAGTTGTGCCCAATGAATTGTTTATTTTTCCAATAGTCTCGAGCCGTTCATTAATAAATGCTCTCATTAAATGCTAAGTGATTTAAATGCAATAGTAGTGAGTTGGTGTGTTTTTCTCATCCCCGTAGCCTCAAGCCCCAAACGCATCATCTTAATAAATGCTCTCACCTATTGCAATGTATTGATTGGGTATATATGTATATTCATGGTTATAACTTTTTTATATCCTTATCTAATATCATTTTTATTTTTGTTGAGGTCAAAGTTTTCAAATGTTTACCCAAAAAAATCCAAAGTGGAGAATTTTTAATTCAATAAAAAAATATTATTGAAATAAATATTTTCATTTATCCATTTATTTTTACATCGAAATTTTTTGTATGTGAAACACACGAATGGAGAGTAGACTCTTTTTGGATATTGTAGTCGACAAGGGTCCGGCCATCTTCAAGTTGCTTTCCGGCGAAGATCAATCTCTGTTGATCCGGCGGAATTCTTTCCTTGTCTTGAATCTTGGCCTTGACATTGTCGATAGTGTCGCTAGACTCGACCTCGAGAGTGATGGTCTTACCCGTGAGAGTTTTCATATATATATATATATATATATATATATATATATATATATATATATATATATATATATATATATAATATTACATACATCTTAAAAACTTCCAAAGGTCATTAAAGTGTTCATCTTTATAAAGATTATTATATGTTTCTATAAACTTTACAAATTTTGAATTGTTTTATAAAAGTTTTATAAACAAATTTTGAATTCTTTTAGGGTATAAGTAATGATGCACAATGAATGGAAAGTAGGAGTAATTTCGCATGAGTAATGATGCATAATTAATGTAGGTTAGCACGCTAACCTTTAGTATCTAACCTAGAGATATTGCATCATAGGTGTGTGGCTCCATAAAACAACTTTCAAGGCTGGGACATAATTGTGTGGTTGTAGATAACACCTTTCAATACGTCTTTAATAGGTTCGTGGCTCTAGACAAATCCTAAATTATTGCTTCATAGGTTCGTGGCTCTAGATAAAACTATAAAAAAAACATGAAAAGACGGCAGTACCTTACCTAGAGCCTCAAAAAATTTCGCTTTCCAAAATATTTTTCGTATCAAAAAATTCAGACATTTATTACATATTAATGGGTTCGTGACTCTATGTTTCTTAATCCAAGCCCACATATTTTATTAACCAATACACATTAATCGGTTTACGACATAATAAATCAAATTAAAAGAACGAAGGAAATAGCCATACCGATCACTATAATTTGCCTTTGATTTTTTTAACTTGTTTTTCAATCTCATTGTTTTTGTATCATTAACTAAACTCGTACCTCTGTCAAAAAAAAACTAGACTCGTACCCGTGCGTTGCACGGTCTAATTATAAACTAAATAATCAGAAAAAGTATTGATGAAGGAAAATGATAAAATTAAATTAACATAATAATATATAATCAAATAAAATATTAAAGAAAAGGAAATAAGCAATAATACAAAATGTGGATCCATTACATTATAAGTTTTGAAAACTTTTTTATAAACTACATTGAATGTTTGAATTTTGTGATACATGTGTTTTCATTTCTATGGATCTTTATTTATTGGATATGATGATATCAGTTAAAAAAAATTTTGTTTCAAACTTCATATCTATGGATCTTTCACTCTTTATCTTTTTACATTTTCTATTTTAAATATTGGCAATATTCAACTATGGTGCTTAAATCTTTTATGAATTTTATCTTCCTTGTTCAATTTGTTTTTTATAGAATATAAAGAGCCAAAGATCTGATATATATGTGTGTGTGTGTGTGTGTGTGTAAGAATTAGACAAAGAACTTTTTGACTTATTCGTTAAATGTATGGAAATAGTAACTATTGTCGAACAAAGAAGGTGCCCCTAACGCCCATGCTAAGCAGCAACATCAAATCACATATCACATGAAGGGGAAATTTTTAGAATGAGATTGTGAGGGAGTGCCAATTTGGTATAAGTAGTATATATAAGAATTAGACAAAGAACTTTTTAACTTATTCATTAAATGTATGGATTTGATAATCTATTTATTTAATTAGATTTGACATAAAGCTACCCTTGAGCAACGCAATATATTTTACTTTATTGAATAGGTACCTATACATTTTTCTTGAGCAACGCACAAAATTTTCCCTTGAACAATGCACTAAATTTTTCCTGGAGTAACACACCAAATTTTTCCTTGAGCAACGCACCAAAAGCTTATACTGGCACGCATTTCAAAAGATTTGAAAATCTATCCTCTTAATTGGCACGCTTAAAATATGTGTTGCAGTAGTAAATACTCCAGCAAAAGAAAACTGTTCAACTCTACCGGAGTCCGTGCATATCCCCGTCGATTCTCGAGGTATCCCGGCTGTATTCGAGGTCCTTGTTATCGTTTCACGCGACGTCAACGTTGAAGAGTATTATGGTCGAAGAGGACAGCAGCCACCACGTCTATGTTGAAGCAGCGAAGATCTGAAAAGAATCTGGTGTATGCTTTGTAGATAATTTTGGGAGCGTACGACGTAAGCTTTTCCCGGATTCCCGGAAGCGTACAGCGGAAGAAGAACCGGCGTAGGGCGTAAGCTTTAGGCCTAATTTTCCACCTCTCCATCTGACAGGCCCATTTGGTAGTGACCCAGCCCAATATTTTGGGCGGGAACACTATTCATAAGCTCCTCTTAGCATTGTATATAGGAGGATAATTAATTTGTTGAGTTTTATTTGTAATATGGTGATGTATGAATGTCCTTGCTCTAAATTCATTTAATAATTAATTTATTGAGAAACATAGAAGCCTTAATTCGGCATAGAAACTAAAAAATGCACATTTGAACTTAGTATTTCTCGAATTTAAAAAATTGATTTCTCACGTTTCAACAATAGAAACGACAATTAATTCTGACATATCCATTATTTCCATAGAAACCTTATATCCATTATAATAATATAAGAAAATATCATCGTAATATTTTTGGAATAAGTAAAAGAAACGAAATTAATATAATACTTAGCACAAAGTGAGTTTTAACAAAATAAAGAACGGACAAAAGCCAATTATACGTAGCACAAAGTTTTAGTACACAATTAAAACTGTAATGAAGTATTTGAGAGGACAGGATGAGAGATTAGTGCCTGAATAGCATTTTCTAAATTTGCAAAAATCATTTAATCGCCCAACGCAAAAGCACATTCTCCATCCTCGATTTGCCTCTCATTTCTCCACCTTGATTGATTTGAGCTTTTTTTCGGACTTGGTTGTTGAAGATTCGTCAAACAATCTCCTCTTGATTGGATCATCTGGTTCAATCAGTATCTCCTTCGTGGATTTGTACGAACTGCTTTCACTCCTAAACATCTCGTTTGAACCAATCTATCTTTTTAAACAAAAAAACATCAAATGTTAGTTAAAATCCCTAGCCCGGTATAAGCAACATATAGTGTGTTTAGATAGATAGAGATAGTGTAAAAAAATAATACGAATTAAAGATATCAATCGAAACAAGTGTAATTTAATAAAAAAGTTTGTGAAATTGATTTATTTTATCGTTAATAGAAATTACAAATAAGAAACGAAACCTCATCGTCATGGAAGACGACCTCCAAAGATTCTCCAATCCTACCAAATGAAGCAACTTCGTAGGCGCAAACGGCTCGAACGTGGATGGCAAGACCAGTTTGGCCCCTCTCAATGTTTGCCAGCTTTGTCCACAAAGAATGAGAAAATTGGTTTGAAGTCATTTTTTCGAGATTGGGTGAGAATTTTTCACACTAAAAGCCCTTGGTATTGAATAAGAGAGAAGCCGTTCATATCAATAAGAGAAGAAGCCACTAACTAAGGTACCGAACAATCAATGCAAGAAATGACCTTTTCAATAACAAATAAAGTGAAATTTACTTTTTTAGATGGAACCTTTCGAATTACCCCTACACAATTACTCATGTCATTAGTCATTATCCATGCTACACGATTACCCATATCATTAGCCATCATTTCGGACCTATCTATAGCCGTGTATATTTCGGCGGGAAAATGCACTATTCATTTTCTCACTTTACCTTTGTACGGAGTATATTAGTAGATGGATTATTAGTAAAAAAAAGTTAGCCAAAATGCCAAGTCATATAACATTTGTTGACTCATCTAATTAAAGCTCGGTCCTACCGGTAGAGCTGACGGAGTACACGGTAAACCTGAGAAGGAGATGATAAAAGGATTATGCTAGGTGTACCCCAAGATTTGTACCCCGTAGTTTTGCACCAACACTTTGTGTTGGTGTAAAACTAATTTTTGTTAAATGCACTAACATTTGTGTCCGTGTGAATTTTTATTAACGCACCAACACTTGTGTCGGTGTAAACTATCGAAATGTTCGTGCAAACCTATGGTGTACAAATGGGGTATATTTTTTGGTTTAAGTGTAGCATGGTCCATGATAAAATCCCGGGGAAGCGTCAAGGCTAAGCCAGTAAACTCACTCGGCCGGACTCCTATATATAAGCCCCGCCACTGATCTATACAACTCTCCCCCAGCTCTCATTGTCTAAGGAATGGGAGGCATCGGCAGCGATACGAGATCGTGTCCTCTCCCGCCGGGCTGCCGGTTCTACCCCTCGGATGAACAGATCCTCTGCTACTACCTCTCCGAGAAGAACGGCCGCAATCGCAGCGATGGCATTAACGTAATTAAGGAGATCAACCTGTACAATTTCGACCCTTTCGACTTACCGGACTCTTCCTGCTTCCGGTTCGGACGCGGCGGGATACGGCGGCACTGGTTCTGCTTCGTGGCTAGGGTTTTGAAGGACAGAAGAACCAGGCGGGCTGGGGGCGGGTATTGGAAGAGGAAAGGGAGGATTAGGGCTGTACTTGATAAGGATGCAGGGAAAGTTGTGCTTGGGATGCGCAAATGTTTCGTTTTTTATTTGGGGGAATCTCTTAAGGGTGCTTTGAGGACTGATTGGTTTATGTATGAATACGCCCTGCCTAGTGCGGTACCTTCTTATCAGCGGATTTGCTTTGATATCCATTATTGTTCTAGTAAATTGATGGACCAACTCTGTCTGGTATATATATGTTCACACATTCACACACTACTTTTGTATATGATGATGAACAATACATATACATATTAAGGTTTCCGCTAATTCCTGAGAGGCTATACGTTGATGATTCTAAATAGACATTGAGGGTCTCTAATTTTATGATCTCCGTGTTTAAAAGATTGATTTTTAGCATTTGAGTTGCAGCGAAAAGAATAAAGTAATGCTACTTGATTTTCGTCCAAATAGTATTTAGAAGGTTGCCTAGTTCTATGTTTATAATCAGAGAACAGCCTTTTGTGTGTTGGGAGGAGGGGAGCCTGGTGGTACAGTTATGGTTCATCTGGTTGCAGAATTCTATTCATAATTGACCCTCTCTATAGCTAGTTCTATCTTCTTTTTCACTGCGAGTAAAACTAATGCAGTACATGACATGGTAAAAATGCAGGCTGCTTTTGTCTTGTGCCGGATTTTTGTGAAATCACCTCATGGAATTAATGGGTCAGAAAATGTGTTGAGTTCCTGTGCTGAAGAAAGTTTTGCAACAGTTCGTCACATTGGTATTCAATTTAATGGAATAACGAATTCAGCTACTGAAGAAACACTGCAGGATGGGAAGAAAGAGACTTTGAATTCCCCGGTGGAAACAGTCAGCAAGTTTGAGAATCCTGTTAGTGAACCTTATGATGACTGGGTAATGGATGTTAAAATACAACTTCTGCATCTGTGTTCAAATTTCAAAGTTCATCAGTTCATTGCTCTTTGTTTTGTTTGTTATGCTTTTTTTTCTCATACCACTTCTGTATATGAACTGAATTTGTCTGCAATTCTTAATCGGTTGTTTTTTAAGCAGATGAGATCAACTTGTCATTTTAGTAGTGGTGCTACGTATTTTGAAGCCTTATCGCCAAATGAAGTATTAGGCAATCTGGAAGGAGATTTTCTGGAGTTGAATGACCTTCTTTGCCCGCTTTCGGGCATTGACTAATTCTGATACAAGGATTTTTAAGAGGCACAATTGGGTGCCAGGATCTTTCCCGTTTAAGAGAGAGATGGATCATCGCTAATTAGTGATATAAAAGAAATCAATGTTCACTACTGGGCTTACTTCAGGTACGAGTGATTCAGATATACAGAAGACTGGTACAATTCCAAAGAATAGTTGGGATGCATGCTGTCATGTACTTTATAAAATTAAGGTTTTATAAGATATATTGGTGGGCAAAAGCCTGGAGACATGAAGTGTTGTCTGTCCTCTCGTGACAATTGTGAGATGGCATAAATCATCTGGCTTACGAGGTTCTTTGATTGATGAAGAAAAAGAATACTCAATTCGTAATTATGCCATTCATAGGGATGGCTTTGGGAGGTAACACGGTACGTGTCGTGAATTATATGTATCAAAATCAAATGCTGCTCCACCTTGCCAATCCATTGGTCATTCTCTTGAAGGTGGAGTCGACTACTCATTAAGCTGATCCCGCTTAATCTTGAAAAATCAATTATCTCCATTACCTGAGATTTTGCAGGCATCTGTTTTTCTGTTGTATTCTCTAGTCGATCGTCAAACATACTTGTTTGAGGGAGATGAAACTCAGGTTAATTTACTGCTTAGGAGTTGAAATTTGTGTGAACCTGTCAGCTTCTGTTGGTCCATAAATGTCACTCTCTATGCTTTATTATTGCAGCATTTGTTGGTCCTCAAATATTCCTCTCTATGCTTACATTTCAACCTGACAGATTTGCTCTTTTTTCTTTCCTTTTTTGTGGTACATTACATAGTTTGTTCAGTATTAATCTTTGGTTTCCTCTCAAGGTTTACACTTTGTTGTAGTTGCTTTTTTTCGGAAGAAAAAGAAGAAAATATTGATTCATCAAAAGAAGCAGCAAAGTCACCAGGGATAGAATCTAACTAGAGCTGGCAAATCGGTCGGTCAGGTCGGGTTCGGGTTCGGTCACTTCAAGTTCGGGTTATTTCGGGTTCGGGTCAATTCGGGTTCGGGTTGAGAACTCTATGTTCATAACCCAGTGTCATCGGGTTCGGGTCGACCCAACGGGTTATGACTTTGGTTATTTAAATTTTTAAATTCACATTAATAAATTTAAAATATCAAAAAAAAGTATTAATCTATAAAATTATTTTATTGTAAACTCTAAAGTAGTATTTAGATATAAAAATCAATATAAGGAATTTAAAAATGCTTATGTTTTGGGGAAAAAGTAAGATAATTATGCAATATCATTAAAATTTTGTCTGAAAATATAAATTTATACACTAAAAACGAGTAAAAAAGTGTACAATTTTGAAAAATTCTTACTTTAGCGGGTCGGTCAGGTCGGGTTCGGGTTCGGTCGGGTTTGACCCATTTTTAGCGGGTCATTTCGGGTTCGGTCATCAAAACCTTTGTTCAAAACCCAGTGTTTTCAGGTCGGGTTTCGGGTCAAAAACAAGTCGGGTCACTTTTTGCCAGGTCTAAATCTAACACACCACACTGAGTCTCAACCTGTCAAGCAAGGGAGTGAGCAACAACATTCGATGTACGTTGAACATAGGAAACAGACGCATAACCATAACTAGTCATAATGGCTTTACAATAAAAAAATCAAAGAGCCGAAGTAGGAGGAGAAAGAATAGCGATAATTTTGATGGATAACATGAACTGCCCTTAAACAATTCGTGAACTCAACTAGGAATGAACTTCACGACACAACATAGCTTCAACCAATAACCAAGAAATGCACGATCCTTCAAGCAAGTCGGAATCAATTTCGTGACATGTAAGCCCACCTCATCTCAGGCCAGGGGAGATTTATTCTTTTAAGAGTGCAATAGATTTCAATAATCATATCATCAATCTCTCTTTAGATTCTCATAAAAAGTAGTAATCCCATAGTTGGAAATTCTGAAAGCTAACAACAATGTCAAGTAGGTGATGATTAGTTGTGTGATTAGCTCTCTAGATCAACGCCAAGTCACCACTTAACCCAACAGTACCCACTACAAATCAATGTTCTGAAAATCGGAATAGACATCAACCCGGACGAGAGATTGGGTCAAGGGCTAATCGGTTGAACCGGTCAACTCGGGGGGTCAACGACCCAGTCGAATTATTAATTAAAATGCTAAATATTTTATATTATATTATTAGATAGATATTTTCAGTTAAAAAAAGTATTTAGCTTGTGTTTTTTACTATATTATTTCATATTTTCTGTTTTTTATTTTATTATTTTTATTATTATTAAAAATTAATAGTGAATGTCTAAAAGATATTTAAATAATAAGGTAATACTCATATTATTTCATATTTTCTTTTTTTTATTTTATTATTTTTATTATTATTAAAAATTAATAGTGAATGTCTAAAAGATATTTAAATAATAAGGTAATACTCATATTATTTAAAAATAAAGAATAGATAATATGTTCTTATATAGTACTATTTATATTTTACGGATTAAAATTTATGTCTAGTTGATTAAATGATTGAAAATATAAAAAAACAGGATATTAAATTATATTTAATATTTTAAAGATGAAAATAATACTTTAAGTATAGATTGTTTATATTTTCTTAAGATAAAAAAAAAAGAAATAATACTAATTATTTTCAAGTTTGAACTATTTTAAAATTTAATAATATAAATATAGTTCTTTTTATAAATAATAAAAGGTCTTTTTAAATTATTCTCTAAATAGATTAACACGCGCTAATATATTTCATAGTCCAAGGACTTTGTAACAGAAGTTATGGTAGCCTATTTGGTTAAAACCCCTGTTGCCTAGTGCTAGGTCTTAGGTTTGATTCCTTTTTATCTAAACCTGGGAACCGGCTAGGTCAACCCGGTTCATCCAATTTGCCAGTTCTTCCGAGTTTGAGCGGGTCAAAGCAGTTTCTAATAACATTGCTACAAACACACTCCTAAACCCACCGGCTAGGTCAACCCGGGTAACCCAATTCACCATTTCTTTTGGGTCTGAGCAGGTCAAAGCAGTTTCTAATAACATTGCCACAAACACACTCCCAAACACAACTTAACATTATGTGCACCAATCTTGTCTATTGCTCCTTTAGTCTACATCAAGAAAACTAGTATCACACTCGTACGTTGCACGGGTCATATTAATGTTACTAAATTATATTAACATCGTTTTTGAATGTTTTTTTTAACAAAGCACAATATATTAACACCAAACAGTTTGTACACTACCCCAATCCAAGGGCTAAAGATTACATCAGAAATAGGCTACTACGAACACTAATACTAATGGTAGTATTACTCAGTTCAAGTCACTTCGGCAGCCCTCTCTTATGCCCTATTGCCATAATAAGGTTAGCCTTCAGGTTTTCAAATATGCTTGCACTGGACTCATCTTTCTTGTTATGTACTTTAGCATTTCTTGCCTTCCAAACATAGTACCAGCAAGTTACTATGCTCGAAGCAATCAATAGTTTGTCCTTCCTATTCTTGCCATTACACATTTTCTCCTTTAATTTAGTGAGTGAATTAGACGCAAGGTCATACTTCAGCCATGAATGAAGATCTCTATACACAGCTACCACAAAAGGATAAGTGCAGAAAAGATGGGTAGCATATTCTACTTCACCCTCACACAATACACACTTAGTATCAATATCCATAAATCTGCTCAACCTGACCTTGGTAAGGATTATCCCCTTCCATATAAGCCAAACAATGAATCTATGTTTAGGTATAGACCATTTGTTCCAAACCAGTTCACTCCAGTCAACCTTTATATGCATTCCTTTAATCCAATCATATCCTAACTTAACATCATAATTGGGCACTACAGGCATGCCTTGAAACAACCTCCTTGTCTGGAGCATTTTCTTCCAGTAGTAGCAATCATCTTGTTTGGGAGAGTATTCCCAAACAGTAGCCCCCTTCAAATATTTGTTGTGGATCCATTTGACCCATAAGGTGTCTTTTTTATTAGCTATACCCCAGATCAGCTTCATAATGCAAGCTTGATTCCATTTCAGTAGATTCTTCAGCCCCATACCGCCTTCATGTTTAGGTAGGCAGACTTCCTCCCAGTTAATTAGAGGGCATCTTTTGTACTCAGGAGAGGAACTCCAAAGATTATTTCTGCAAAGGGCCATGACTTTATTCATTACCTTATTAGGTATCAAGAAGATCCTACTCCAAAATAAAATCACCCCAAACAAAACCGAGTTAATAAGCTTAACTTGTAACGTCCCAAAACATGGTCTAAAAGTTATTTTATGATAAAAGAATTTCAAAACAATATTCTGACCTAACAAATTATTATTTTTATGTTTGACCAAAAATGAATAAATTTTTGGAGTCAATGATCTTTTATTAAAATTTAGTTTTATGGATAGGTCTCGAAGAGACGAATCTAACGGTATATTTTATGAATAAATCGGATGTACAGATTTTGAGTTGTGACATTTTTAATATGTATTTTGCATAAAAATGAGAAGTGGTTAAATATGTGAACTTTTGTAAAATGATTATTAAAATAAATTATTTAAATTGCATAACATTGGTTGAATATGAGAGTACTTTTAACTACATATAAATTAATTCAATTTTGACTTTCTCAAAGTCAAACATTTAAAAATATGATGTCAGAAAAAGTATTTCAAAAATATGTGAAAATTATATTATTGCGTAAAGCTTGTCTGTCTGATTGCAACGGTGTAATCAATTTTAATTAAGAGGTGTTTGGGTACAAAAGTGTTTATCATTTGAAATTAGTTTATCAATTTGGATATGGAAACAAATTAATAGCCTGAGTATCTCCTAAAATCTACTCATTGGGCGCAGCCCTTCCCACTCAAAAGGTGTAATAGTTTAATTCATAAGCATTCATTCAATTTACATATAAAAACAAAAAACAAATATACTCCTAATATTATTTCTTCACGACTCCACTTGCAAACATTTATTATGTAGTCTCCTCTTCCACTTTGAGCCTTCCATACGCAGCAAAGAAATATCACTCCACCTTTATCTCTATTTTCTACCCCATGTGAATGAGCTCTTCTCTCACTTTAGTCCTAATTATCTCTCTTAGAATATATCTTCATTTCCATTAAAGAACTCCCCTGCCAGTTTGGATGAAAAGTAAGCCAAGGCAACGAAAAAGGTTTTTTTAAAAAAAGAAAAAGAAAAGAAATCCTCCATGTTTGAAGCTTGCGAGGTTGACCGGAATTTTGCCGGAATCCGTGTGAAGACGATATCAACATGCGACAACGGTTTCATGTAGAGAACAACCTCCCAATCATTCATATATGGCATCCATCAAGTCTCGATGTTCATTCATGACGATCTCGACCAAAGAAGTTGGGCGAAAATGTGAAAATAAAATTCTGGGCAAAACAGTCCCCTTGTAAGCGCTATTCGACCCATCTAAACTCGTTATTTTAATTTGGTTTCTAAACAAAAGTTGTAGCCTTATATCTTACGAATTGGTAGCATCAAACGATTCGCGATTTCATTGAGTAACGAAGGAGATATGGCCCGAAAACCAGGGCTGGTACAGAGTGACAGAAGTGACGAGTTTTAAGATTTCCGCCGTTGTTTTCGCTCCCGTTCGTTCGTTGAACTTCTTCTCATTGATTTCCAGGTCTGTACCATGATTTTAAACAACTTTAGAAGGCATTAGATCTATCCTTGAACTTATTGATTCATATATAATTGAAAATATAAATATTGTGATATTTATAACCACCAAAATTGTTTTGTTGTTAAAGCTTCAAATAAATTGTTTGTGAGTGATCTATGGACGTTAGAAAACATTTTTATGAAGTTAGTTTGAAGCTTAGAAGCTTTTATGGTGTTTTGACGAATTGGATCGAAGGTTGAAGATGATGAATAGTAACTCCATTTTTCTTGCGAATGACCGTGCGGATCCAACAGCCGACCGTTACGAACATTTTAAGTCCAAAAATGCTATTTTTGAAGATATAAAATCATATTTTTGATATATCAATACAAAGACAATTTGTTTTGGAGTAAAAAAAATGATGTTTGGACAACTAAAGAACCTTATATGATATATGACAATAAGCTAGGGTATTAGCACTCGATGCTAAGTCGCTATTTGTTATTGAATATTGTGATGATTATTATTGATGTTGTTTATGATCAAACTTTGATGAATATTATTATTAAAATAATAATTATGAATGATTAAATCATGCTTAGAAATGAATATATTGATGATTATGAAAATGATGTGTATTGTTAAGGATATCTAGAAGAACTCTAAGATATACCCATTTGGAAAATTGATTATGATTATTAAGGATATCTAGAAGAACTCTAAGATATACCTCCTTGACCAATTCATGATTCGGGGTTAAAACGTACGTACGGGATCCAGACCGGATATCACCCACCCGACAGATCACTGTTCGGTTTGGTACGTAATCCACGTGACTCATAGGATGGATTATCGATTCTTGTGTTCTGCATTAAACTATTTATAGTTTAAGGGCCTGGTTAGAAATATTGTTTTAGACTAGTTATAGTTTAAGAGCTATGTTATCAATATTAATTTGACTTAGACTAAAAATAGTTTAAGAGCATTGATATGATTTAGCCTTAACTTAGAATAAGTTAGGAGCAAATTGTGATAAAATTTGATATGAAATTATGTGTAACAAATGATGAATGTTGTGATAACAAAAGTGACATGTGATGATTGTGAATTTTGGACTGATTACTACATAAGTTTGAATGATGATATTTAATAATAGACTATGTTCATTATCCTTGTTACAATAACAATGACGAATTTAAATATGAAAAAGAAATGTTTTGAACATATATGATTGGTATTGTTTAAGAAAATTATTCTTTGAATTCTTTTGTTGTGCCATGGTACCACTCAGCTTCATTGCTGAGCGTGTAGACTTTTTTCATTTTTCTACACGTAGGTATGAGAGAGAATAAATGTGGAGCCTATTCTGGAGAATACTGAGATGGAGGTGATGCGTGGACATGAACAAATATACTATTTAAGTAAATGATTTTATCACATAGGTTGATCATACTATTTTAGTTTACAAATTGCTTCCGCACTGTTTTAAATAATTTCTCCGATGTAATTATGAAATATTTTGTACAATTGTTTGAAATAAAGTTTTTAAATGTTTGAAATTTTTACGTTACTAAGTTAATACTTTAGTCCGAAAGGGGCTGCAGATCTGGACGGATTAAGGTATTACATAACTCTACCTGCATAAGACAGATTCTTTGAAGTCCAAGATGTAATCTGCTTGGTAAGCTTTTCCACCAAAACATCACACTCCCTTTCACTTATCCTAGATGCAGTTATAGGTCCTCATAGGTATCTAAAAGGAAAAGCTCCTTTAGACATCCTAGTTCTCTTCAGTATCTCTTTATGGATATCATTAGAGTCACCACCCAGGAAAACTTGAGATTTGTCATAGTTGAGAACTAAGCCCATAGTGTTCTTAAAGTGCCTTAGACTAGAGAGGAAGCATTCAATGGATTCAACTTCAGCTTTACAGGCGACAATTAAGTCATCAGCAAACACAATATTGATTAATTTGAGGGCCTTACACCTAGGATGAAATTTAAATCTGTCATTGTTCGAGTAGAAAGAAAAGGCTATTGTTAAGTATTCCATGACAAGGGTGAAAAGCAAGGGGGATACTGGATCCCCTTGTCTAAGGCCCTTCCCTCCCTTGAAATGCCCAAAGACTTCCCCATCAATCCGTATTGAGTACGCTGCACTTGTCACACAGAACTGGATCCATGTAACAAATTTCTTAGGAAATTTTAGAGCTTCCATGATCTGAAACAATCCCTTCCAACTAACAGAGTCATAAGCTTTCCTTAGATCGTTTTTTGAATGTTACAAATTAGTATATAATAAAATAAAGAGATTTCATTTTTTTATGTTACAAAAGTTAAATGATTTACAATATTTGAAAGACTACTTTATAATTCACATTACTCGTATAAATTTGTGAAAATATTGTCTTCTTTACATATTAGAATTTTAAAATCATTATGATTTATTACTTTTGAAACTACAACATACATTTGTCCATTCATGACTAAAATATAAATAACATTAATCAAAACTCCGTTTAAAAAATCTGTTCAGGCTAATTGTGTTGTTTTTCTCATTTTATCAAATTGCTAATAAAGTGGAGATCTATATACTCCATAAAAACAAAGGAGCCTTTATAAAAAGAAAATAAAAAAATTTGCAGTGATTTGTTTTATAGAAAGCAATGCTTGTATTGTCTCTATTTTATGTCTTTTTTGTTAGCATTTTACTCCTTATTTATTAACAATAAAAACAATTTTTTTTCATTGAATAAAATAAACAATTATCTTATACTCGTTATAAAAAACACTCGTTAGAGAATTAAATGTTTGTGTCCAATATTTTTAAATCCTAGGTTTCACCATTTGCATCACCAGAATTTGAGGCGGTGATACCACTTTGTTGAGACTATCATTCACCATATAAACATTATCTGTCCACAATATACAATTTCGCCAATTTCCCATAAATATTAAAAAATAAAAATAAAACATTCGTGATTCTCAAAGTAGAATTATTCATACATCATATTCATAATTTATGATTCCAATTAAATACATTTTAAAGAGATTTTTATTTGAATAATTATTTTTCATTTAAGGATAAAAGTGAAATTTTATAGAGAACTTCCATTTTATGTTATTTTATTCATTTCTTTTCATATTATCAAAAATAGTTAATGTTTTGGAAATTTTATTCCAAGTATATTTCATTATCCGTGAAATGAAATAAAAATCCAAGTGTACATTATTATTTTTACACTTAGATCAAAATGGTAATAAGTTTTAGATTTAAACTTGGAAAAAAATGGTAATAACTATTTTTAAATAAAGTTTTAAATAAATGTAAATTTTAAACTTAAAAAATGGCAATAAGTTTTAAATAAATATGGAAACTTTTTTAATGCTCATACAAAAACAGTAATTTTTTAATAAAAATGGAAACGTATTCCCCTTTACCATATAATTATTAATTAATAGAATCCAAAATTATCTTAGCAACACTTACCATTAGCTGGTGTAGCATTTAAATAAAAACGGAAACATATTTACCTTTTCGAATTACTGTTTTCGGTGTTAAAAAACAAAACATATTAATGTATTTAAACAAAAATAGAAACATTTTTAATGCTCATACGAAAAACATAACTTTTTAAATAAAAATAGAAACATACTCCCACTTATCACTTACCATTAATTGGAATCGCATTTAAATAAAAATGGAAACATATTCTCCTTTCCACCTTACTGTTTCGTTGTTATTAAAAAACATATTGATGTGTTTAAATAAAAATGGAAACATTCTTAATGCTCATGCGAAATTCTACATTACCATTAATTATTCATTAATTACTATGTATTAGTTAATACTTCTATGAAATTCATCATTTTTAATGCTCCTACAAAGTTGCTCTTAACATATTAATTATGGAGTATTAATTAATGCTTACTAAATTTAATGCATACACATACATATAATGAGTAAAATGTACCACATTTCCACGTATTACTCTTACATATGGGTGGCAAAAAAATTCCCTCTTTTTAAATATAGTATAGATAAAATCGAGCATCTTTAGGAGTGCAACCACCACCACTTTATGAGTTATCTTTCAGTTGCCTAACCGACAATAAACTAACTAATTTTAGTCATCGATCCCGCCATATCTAGACTTTAGAACCCATCCCAAATTAGTTTTTTATTAATTCAAATTAGAGGAAGTAGTCATTTTTATCTAAACCCGGGAACCAGCTAGGTCAACCCGGGTCACCCAATTCACCAGTTCTTCCGGGTTTGATTGGGTCAAAGCAATTTCTAATATCATTGCTATAAACACATTCTCAAACCCAATTTAACATTAAGTGCACCAATATTGTCTCTCGCTCCTCTAGTCGACATCAAGAAAATAAAATCGAGCATCTTTGGGAGTGCAACAACCACCACTTTCTGAGTTATCTGTCAATTACCTAACCGACAATAAATCCAACTAATTTTAGTCATTGATCCCGCCAGATCTAGACTTTAGAACCCATCCCAAATTAGTTTTTTATTAATTCAAATTAGAGGAAGTAGTCATTTTGATCTAAACTAGGGAACCAGCTAGGTCAACCCGGGTCACCTAATTCGCCAGTTCTTCCAGGTTTGAGCGGTTCAAAGCAGTTTCTAATAACATTGCTACAAACACACTCCCAAACCAAACTTAACATTGAGTGCACCAGTCTTGTCTCTCACTCCTTTAGTCTACATCAAGAAAATAAAATCGGACATCTTTGGAAGTGCAACAACCACCACTTTCTGAGTTATCAGTCAGTTGTCTAACCGACAATAAATCCAACTAATTTTAGTCATTGATCCCGCGAGATCTAGACTTTAGAACACATCCCAAATTAGTTTTAAACCTATGAACCATCACAACCTCTTTGGGCCCAGCTAGTGAAACCACACCCATACTTATGTTTAGCTATCAAACCCAACTCCTCATCATCCCCTACACTTCTAGTACCTTGTGCACCTTTAAATGGATTGCACTGCCATTATTCTCGATAAGTTTTGTTTATTTACCTATTTTTATTGATTATTCACAAAAATAAAATATTGTTGTTACCATTTATTTTGTAAAGCTTTTGTGTTATTTTTAAATATTTAAGTTTTATTTTTTATTTCTATACTTCTTTCTCATTAAAATAAATTTAAAAAAATATGGGATTTTTAATGTTCTTGGAGAGTAAAATCCATTTGAGGTAGAGGTTGTGTGTGTGTGTGAGGAGAAATACAAAAATATGAGAAAATAATAGAAAAACAAACATAAAGGAATTTCGTCTCCGGTCACCAAAAACGACATTGCCACCTTTGAAATATTCTAAACTCCTAAATTTGGATGCGTCTCCGGTCATGTGCTTGGAGCATCTGCTATCGAGATACCAAGAGGTACTCGAAGCCTTCAAGCACACCTACAAAAAGATATCAAGGAGACGGTTTAGGTACCCATATATTGTTGGGTCCTTTTTAGTTAGCATATGTGCGATGTGTGTGCGTTTGTTGAAAATGCCTAATTTTGGTGAAGCACACGGGTGCAATGTGACCTATCTTATTGCAATAGTGGCAAATAACATTTGGATTATTCATCCTATATGGTTGAGTGTAATGAGTTCTAGGTTTGCTAGGATGTGCTTTTCTAGTTTGATTATTAATCCTAACATTTTTATTCCCCCTAGCTTTAACAAATGTGGTTTTCTAGGTTGGTTTTTCTTATATCCAAGTCCTTCACCATTACTAATTTTTTGCTTAAGTATTTTATCTAAGGTGTTTGAAGCATTATTGAACTTTCCCAATTTGCTTTCTAAACTAGCAACCTTAGCTTTTAGTGATGTACAACTAGAGCATGTAGAAGAAGAAGTAGTTGAAGGTTCTTGTGGCCTTTTTCCAAAAGAGATAATTTCTTGTTTAAGTTTATCATTTATATTTTTGAGTTCTTTGATTTCATTCTCAAAAATCAGGATTTTTTGCTTTACTTCATTGTTTTCTTTGGAGGCCTTTTTGAACATTCTTACCAAATCTTCTACAATGCAAACAACATCATTAAGAGTTAAAGGATCATTGGGAGAAGGTTCTTGATCACTTACCTCTTTTGATG